GTTAAACTATCTCTAAAACGTCTATGTAATAATAATATATAATATTAAAAAATAATACTGTATTATAACTGATAATATTTAGTTTTTCAATAAGTTTTAAAATAATTATGTATACAGTAAATAAACACTATAGCATACTTAACTGTTACTAGAAAAAGTATATTACAAAGAACATAATAATTAGCATTTAATACAAGTTTTTTTTTTTTTACACGAAATAAAAATTGCTTATGTCACTTATAAACTGTTTAATACATTATGGAAATTAATTAGGTATGCGAAATGTTTTATCAAAAACACAATTTTTTCGGAAATCAACATCTAAGTTAACACTCGAGCAAAATGTAATTAGAATATGATTTCCTTCAAATATGATCTTTAAATTAGCGGAGTTTATTTATCTAATTGTGAAAATTTGGTATCAAAATTCAGTCTTCGTTATTTTATCATATGCGTTGTTTTGTATAGACCTAAGGGTACATTGTCATCTTCATCTTCAATTATTGGATTTGTTATATTCACGTTTTCGTTATCTGAAAGTATAGGAGATTGTTTATTTCTTATCCCAGAATTTGGAGATAAAGGTCTTACTGGACTAGTTGAACGTTGATTGTTCGGTGACGGACGAGCATTTAAAGATCTTCCATTAGGGGAAGGAGACCGCCTATTCGGTGAAGCTGGTCGGTGAGAATTATAGCTGCCAGCCCTATTACTACTCTCACCGCCGACATTTTCCACGTCCGAATCATAATAAACTAGACCTTCTACGTGGCTACTCTCTACTCCAACACTAGTTCGATCTTGATCATCAAGATATCCACCATCCGTTCCATCGGAAATATACCCATCTCCGTAGTGATAATATTTGCGGTGGCCATAAGCATCTTCTACATATGCACACGAATAATCTGGATTTGAATCACTATAATCATCGAATTCTTTTGAATAACCTAGGTCTAATGTATACGGTGAATTTGCTTGTGAAGGAGACATTGGTGGTGTGAGATATTGTTGTGAAATTTGCTGTATATCATACTGTGGTGTTTTATATGCTATTTCTGCACTTGAACCTGCACCACGCCGTCTAGCATCAGGTGATCCTTTCTTTTCACCTTTTCTTCGTTTGCGACCTACATTATGCTTTCCGACTTTACTTTTTACTATTGCCGCCTCTTTTTCAGCATTAGGATTTACTTCAGATCCATATTCGATTTGTTGCTTATTAATGAGTGAAAGATACCAAAACATCATGTTAGAAATTAGAACTTGTTCGTGTAAAGGACGACGGGGATTTGCTAATTTGATATGAGAAAGTCGATATATGGCACGTTCTACGTGAATAGGAAAACGATTATAGTTGGTGTACTTCGGTTTTTTGTTTGATAGTACAGAGGTCGAAGGACTAGACAGTAGCACATTTGAAGTTCCGTGTTCTTCAGTGGATTTTCCTCTATTTTGAGAGGACCACGAAAAAATAGATGAGATCGTTATTTTTGATGACTTTTCTCTAGTACCAGACTCATTGAGATCACCATCAGCTTTTTGAACTTTTTCTGCTTTTGGTTTTTTAAATTTTGATTCTTTTTCCTTCTCATCTGAATTAGCGCCGAAAAACCAAGATGTCCATGTAGATGTCCGTTTCGATTGTGTTGAAGCGACTGATGTTGGGAGCGTTTTAGAGGAGGGTTTTGTTATTCCGCTGGCATCTGAATATAAGTTTGCTTCATCGTGCGATGGCATATGGCCTTGTGAAGAATCTGACATATTAATAGTACTTTGGGGAAGCGAACTCGTCCGACGAGGAGAAGGCACAGCAGCGCTTACAGGTGCAGGGCCATCATCTTTTAAAGTAATACGTATAGGCCCAGAACTATCATTTAACTCTATAAAATCAAGTACGATATCATTTTTAATTCCTTCAGGTTCAGCGACAACATTTGATGTAGATGTTGTCTCGTCATTGCCTGTTTCTTCGGATCCCTCGTTTTGAGGTAACGTTAAAACATTAGAAAGTAGCGATTCTGGTGGGTTTTTTGGGATAATTGGTAATAAATTCCCATTCTGTTTATCTTTGTCGGAAAGTACGTGAGTTGATTTTGTTCTTCTGTGTGCGGAGAATCTTCGCGGATTTTGTTCACCAGCAACTGAATTCCGGCGAATCTTTGTGCGTGCCGCACGCTTAAGTGCTGGTGCCATTCTAGGAATGAGAACAGGTGAATCTACAGTAGCAGAAGAATGGCGATCAAATATGTTCGGATCTTTAGGGTCGGTATCGGAACCTAACAGCACGTTACGTATTGAACGATAAAATATGCATATTAGGACCAATCGGTATCATATAAATGAAAGGTTGATCCAACCAGCGTGCATATATATATAATATATATATTTTTTTGAAAAAAAAATGAAAGCAATACAATCGAACATTTATTAATATCATATAAAAAGTATGCAAGAGTTTTATATGTAAGGTCATAAGATAAACTGATAATAGGAACGTTAATAATTAATTATTGTGTTCGCTGGTCTTTCTTACCTACAAAAGGGAACATGTTTAAGCTGAGACTCCTTCGTATTGTTTTAATTTTTGTTGGTTCAGATGTTTTCTCCTCGGATGTGGCGAATGTCATCCAGTCAAAACCATTTCGTTTTTTTTCGGGCCCTATTTTTTTCTCTGATTGTTCATCTTCGTCATTTTCCGTTGGTATATATTGCCTAGATAAGGCAGATTTACGTCTCCTCAAAGAGCTCGTTCCTGTATTAAACCTATCTTTCGCATGATTATTTAACCATTTTCTAAATTCGTTTGGAGCTATTTCTGGATGAAGATGCGCAGGGACCCAAAATAAGTGCGATGGATTGTCTGTCTCAATGTGAAGCGCACCTGTGATCGACTCGGAATTCAATGTATCACTTGTGTCATCGTCTTCTAAGCCTATAATAGACTTTCTTTTGAGGGTAGCCTCCACTAACCCGGGAAATAGTTTTCCTAGGGAAGAATCTGAATCACCACCAGTTATGTTAGCGCTGGTCTCTCTTATATCAGTCGGGTATTTAGCTTGTATGGGTGTAACTGAAACTGATGAATGTTTTTTACTGTCGTTAGTACTATTCTCTTGCTGGAATGTTATTTGAGGCTGGACTTCCTTTTGTTCTGTCTGTAAATCACCACTAGTGTCGTTTGTGGTGACAGAAGAATCTTGTATCGGTTTTGAAGTGCTTAGATCGTTAACTTCGATGCGAGGCAATATTAGCTCAGGAGTGTCGCTAGTTCCAAAAACAGCGTCCAAATATTTCATTGAGAAGTCTAAAAAACTTTCATCCGGATCTTCGTTAACCATTATGTTATTTTTTTTTCAATATCCCTCTACAAACTAAAAGTGTACCGAGAATAACACATAACACATATTGCCTTTATTGCCTTCCAATATACGTAATATTCATAGAGTAATACAGTGGCTAACTTTATTTCTAGATCTACTAGTCATGTGGTTAATCCTATCCAGTGATCTGTCCAACCCCACTAGGGGTCTAGGCGTTTACTAATTCCCCCCAAATTTCTGATTCTGGCCAATCAATATGCAAGATCAGGTGTAACGTGAAGATCAAAACAATCTCTTTTTTTCGAAAAGTCAAAAATTTTGCCCAAGAAATCAAATTTTAGTATAAGGTCCACTAACGCTAACCCCAAACCCTAACTTAGGTGTCACATTTTAAATAGAAAGTGATATGTAAATTGGTGCGGGGTCTAGCCCGACGTTAGGGTGTCCAGGATTATGCGATGCGATGCGATGCGCATAATTGACCACTTTTTCGCATCTCGGATGCTTCGAATAATCGAGCAAAAAAGGGGGACGTTTAAAGCTTGGCACTTCCGGTTTTTCGATTTTTAATTAATATTAGAGTTAAGACAGATTTAGATAGCAATTTTTTATATTTTCGTGTTTTTGTCTTTGGAATAATCCGTGACATATGTACAGATCACGTGGTTTTGCACGTACCTAAATCACGTGATATTAAGCGTATGTAAGTTATCAAAGTAGAATATTTAGGCAAATTCTTTAACAACTATCTGATGAAAATTATTTAAATGAATTCTAGAACTCATTTAAAAAATTTTTACCGAATTCTATCGAGAAATTTTCGTTCAGTGGGAAAATTTTCACTATCTTAGGAAAATAGCCGCAACAGAAATTTTCCTAAACTTTGAATAAAAATTTCTTGACAACTATCCGATAGAATTCGAAAATTTAATTTTATAAGCAAGTAGAATTTATTTAAAAAATTTTTATCGGATTCTGTCAAGTAGTAGTCAAGAAATTTTGTTTAAGTTTGCTGCCTTAGCTATGTCTAAGAGGAGACGAAAATTTTCCCAAACTTTGAACGAAAATTTCTCAACAAATACTCGACAGAATTCAATGAAATTTTTTAAATAAATTTTACTTATTTATAGAATTTTTTAAAAAATGTTCTATCGCACTCTACCAGATAGTTGTCGAGAAATTTTTGATCAAATTTTAGAAACAATTTCTGCTGTGGCTAAATGATAAAAATTTCCACAAACTTTGAATGAAAAACTTTCGATACTACTTTGATAGAATTCGATGAAATTTTTTAAATAAATTCTACTTGTTTATAGAATTCATTTAAAAAAAATTTTATCGAATTCTATAGGATAGTTGCCGAAAAATTTTGACCAAATATTAATAAAAATTCTGCTTCGATAACTTACGTACGTAGTTTGATATCACGTGATATATGTACGTGTAAAATCACATGATCTGTACGTGTCCGTAGACCGGAAATTCTACGGACAGAGCTTAGGGTAGGGTGTCCAGGATTATGATGCATGCGGCAAATTGTAAATTATGTAAAATTAAGCAAGTTTTAAGTTTTTAGCTTAAAATATGCACATATTATGCGCTATAGCAAATTATGTAAAATATGCAAAGATAAATTTTTTATACATACGTATGTATATTTTCTGTAAAGCATATTATTTTATAAATTAAAACTCGAATACTCGGATATCTTATAACTTTTTTTTAAAATATGTATTTATTTAGGTTTTTTATCTTGTATATCAATATATATGTACGTAAACTGCTTAAAAGACAATTATTTCAAGTGCCGTGATTGGTTATTGGTTCTATGTAAAGTTTGGAACCGGTTTGATTTTTAATATGCTAAAACTGATTAAACTGTTTTAACTTATGAAAAATAAAGCGGTTCCAAACCCTAGTTTTTTTATCCTATTCGAGCAATTTCATTGGCCAAAAAATCTAGCACATGATACACATGTATTATGCGAATTATTATGTGAAATGGCCTAAATTATGCAGCTTTATGCGACGCATAATTATGTCGCATCATAATCCTGGACACCCTAGCTTAGGGACAGAGTAGACTCACGTGATACTATAAACCCTCATATGATTCTTCCGGGAGATCTACGGACAGTGCATGGGGGCAGTGTAAATCACGTGATATTATATTAAATCCTCTACCCTAACCGCTAACTAACCAATCACAACTTAAACACGTGATTTTGTACTGTCCCATGCAGATGGTCCCTGATTCTTCTCTGTTCCTAACCGCCAGGGACACAGAAAAATATTGATTTATATAGATCAATATAAATCGATATTTTTAGGCCAAATCATAGAGAAATCGATATTTTTACAA